GGCGTTCCTTTATTTGTGGGCTTTTACATTCTTCAATAATACCCTTTGTTTGGGCTTTCATCTTGGATTCCTAACTGGGCTTCGCTCTTTGGGCCATTTAATTTGGGCTACACTGTTAGTGTGTCAACGGTCAGAGTAGAAACTGAAATGCTCAAATGTTATTGATTTTTCGTTGTATCGTGAGGAGGCAGTGTTTTAAGGACACTGAATTCACATAGGTCTCGGTTTGATAATTTCTTCTCTCCCATGACTTGATATTTTCGTTTGTATCTATTTATTTGTAGTTTGTTCTTTTTCAGTGTATCAAATACTGTATTCTGCTATTATTTTGTCTAACAAAGAACTCTAGGGAATTTAAGAAGTAAAAGAGGGATGTTATTTTTCTTGACCTTAGGCCCCTGTTTGGATTGATTTTATAAGCCAACTTCAAATTATCAAATAATTGTAGAATAATATGTACCATATAATAACCAGATTTTGGTAAATTTACAAATAAACATTTTCTATTCGATAGTTCACATTAAAGACAATCTAAATTTATTTTGGTATTTCCTCTTATTATATGAACATTGAGAAATTGAGAAATCGAATTGCGACAAGTTTGATTCATAAAAGATAAATTAATTTGTTTTAAAAAATTATACTGCAGGGATCATGCTTTTATTTGTAATTATATAATTTTTTAAGATTTAACAGATTATTCTTAATTCAAAATAATTATAGTGAATACGTAAATTAAACTCCTCCTTGCACCCAACCTTCCTCCTATTGAGTCAGTTCCAACTTTGCAATACCCACACGAATCATGCTATATGTACAACATTGGATGACAACATCCTATTTGACATCATCGTATGGTAGGATTTTCACAACACATAATTGTTAACCAATGTTTTACATGTAGCATGATTCGTACCTACACAACAAGGTGGGATATTTTTCTCATTCTTTGCTTTCCATTTAGAAATTCTGTTTCCTTAATTTTAGTGTTTTAAACTTGGTCCATTATCTCCAGTGTCCCATGATAACGGACGAATCTCCCATGGTCTCCATGGTGATTTGAATGAGTCTAAGTCAGTTGATGGTTAAGTTCGATTGGAGTTTAAGAGCCTGGAAGTTGGCTTTCTACACCCAAAATTCTGAGTCTAAAATCCAGTTAGAGCCTATTCAAATGGATCAAAATTTTTGGAATATAATGTCTTATGGGCCTTGTTATTAGAAAACCATAATGGGATAATTAAATAGGAAATTATAGAAAAATAAGCATTTAATTTTTCAAATTAAAAAAATCAGATCTTAAGTTTATTTAATAAAAAATCAGGTATTAATTGAATTTATAATTAAAACCATCACATCCAAACCCTAAATCATTTTATGTCTCTTCTTCCTTTCATCTCCTCTCCTCTCCCATTCCCTTTTCTCTTCCTCTCCTGTTTCTCTACCTTCTCCCTCACACATGGATCACCTTTGTGCTACCGGAGACCACCTCCAAGCGTCGCCGCCGTGTAGCGCTCTTCATTGTGAAGCCACGCCGCTTTGCCGTCTCCCGTTTTCCATCTCTTTGCAGTCCGTCAACACAGTGTCGTGACACTGCTGCGAACGCTTCGCGATGCTACAGTCCTTTGGCGCCAACTATGCTGGGGTAGGGAGGGGGCTTTGAGGTTTTTTTCTTTATCTTTCCGATCCGAGGAAGTTGTGGTGAATCGTTGATGTGGGCGATGGTATCGTGCAGTTTGGTGGGGCGGCGATTTGGTGATTGTTTGGTAGACCTGGTGGTTGTGGTCACAAGAAGAGATGGTGGTGATGTTGGTTGCGGTGACGGACTTGATGTTTTTGTTGGTGGGGTGGTGGCTGTGGTCAGTGGCTGACACAAGGGGGGGCTGGGGGGCACGTGCCCCCCAACTTTGCTTTATTTTTTTTTTATTTTTTATGTTTTGTTTCAATTTTCGAAATTATT